TAAAACAAAAGGAGCATCAAGGGTAGAAGTAAAAATGCATAAACACTGTATATTGTGACGAAGTAGAAATAATACATCTATAAAATGGGAAAAAGGAGGGGTGCCTGGCTGGCTCAGTCAGAAGAGTATGAGACTCTTTTTTTTTTTTTTTTTTTTTAAAGACTTTATTTATTTGACAGACAGAGATCACAAGTAGGCAGAGGCAGGCAGAGAGAGAGAGAGGGAAGAACGCTCCCCAATGAGCAGAGAGCCTGACGCGGGGCTCGATCCCAGGTCCCTGAGATCGTGACCTGAGCCGAAGGCAGAGGCTCAACCCAATGAGCCACCCAGGTGCCCCAAGCATGAGGATATGAAAAACACCTTGAATCAGAAACTCAAAAATTGGTGTACTGAGTTCGAGCTCCACACGGGGCACAGAGATTACTAGGGGAAAAAAAACCTTTAGAAAAAATGGGAGAAAGGAGAATAAGCTCACTGACTGTTTGTACAGGCAATGGACTGGAGGTGAAGGAAACAAAAACTGACAAAATCAATAGTAAAAGGCTGGAAAAGAAAATAGATGACTAAGGGCATTAAAATATTATAAATATAAATGTTACCATTGTAATAAAACTGCATATCTTTCTAAATACCAAGAATACTTCTAAAGAGCAAAATATACACAAGAAATAAATATAGCAAACATGACATAATAAACATTAAAAAATAAATTGACAGTTGGGATTAAAATATGTCAAATCATATCAAAAAATGTGAATGAACCTAATACCTAATAAAAGATTTTTTAGTTAAGCTACAAATTAAGACCTGTTTATATGTGTACCCTATTCACTGAATGCTGCTAAGTTCAAAAAGATCTAAATAAATGGGAGAAATATACCACGGTCATGTATTAGAATATTCAGTAATATTAGGAAGTCAGTTTTCCCCAAAATGATTTATATATTCAATGGAATCCAAAGTAAAATCCCAGAATTTTTGGTAGAAATTGACAAGCTGTTTCCAAAATTCATATAGAAATGGAAATGACCTACAATAGCCAAAACAAATTTGAAAAGGTTGAAGGGCTGATACACCCTATTTCAAGAATTACTGTAAAGATATTAGTAATCAAAAGAGAAAGGTACTGGAATAAAGGTAGACAAATAGATCATTTGAACAGAACACAAAGTCCAGAAATAGACTCACATGAATATGAACGTTTTAGCAAACATTTGAAGGCAATTCAGTGGAGGAAAAAAATTAAAAATTACACAGCATCTAAAAGCAATTATAAAACATTTGTGACCTTGGCTTAGGCAAAGATTTCTCAGACATATCACCAACATGACCATTAAAAAAATAATAATAAAATTGTAATTCATGAATATTTAAAATTCTATCTTCAAAGTACACTATTAAGAAAGTGAAGACAGCCCACAGACTGGAAGAAATATTCACACATCATTGCACTGATAAGGACTGGCATAGAAAACAAACAGCCCAAGGAAAAAAATGGACAAAGTCTTGAACAGATAATTCAGCTAAAGGCTTTGTAGGAATGACAAATAATCCCCAAAAAGGATGCTCAATGTCATTAGTCATTAGGAAATGCAAATTAAAATTACAGTAAGTTACACACCTATTAGGTTGTCTAAAATGAAAGACTGACCTTACCAAATGTTGGCAAGAATGCATAGCGAAGGAAAGCTCATACACATAGGGATGTGAAAGAGAATAAATATTAGAGAATAATCTGAGTCTCTTAAAAGTCAAAAATAGTCTTAGCAGGTAGAGCCAACCATCCTACTCTTAGGTATTTACTGAAGAGAAATGAAAGTATGTCTATACGAAGACTTGTACACAAATGTCCATACCAACTTCATTTTTTTAAAAAAGATTTTATTCATTTAATTGACACACACAGACGAGACACAGTGAGAGAAGAACACAAACAGGGGGAGTGGGAGAGGGAGAAGCTGGCTTCCTGATGAGCAGGGAGCCCGATGCGGGGGCTCGATCCTGGGACCCTGGGATCATAACCTGAGCCAAAGGTAGATGCTTAACAACTGAGCCACCCAGGCGCCCCACCAACTTAATTTTTAAGAGACTCCAAATGAAAAGAAACCAAATGTCTATCATAGGTAAATGTACAAACCGTGTATATCCAGTTTCTTGAACACTCAACAAGAAAAAGAAGGGATTACTGATACCTGCAAAGACTTGCATGAATCTCCAAATAATTGTGCGGAATGAAAGAAGACAGACCGAAAAAGGATGGAACATACTGTATTCCATTCATATCCAATTCTAAAACATGCAAACTAAGTCTATAGCAACAGGAAGCCCAGCAGATGTTGCCTGGAGATGAGAGTGGTGTGGAGGGAGGAATTATCAAGGCACACACATTAATATTTTGGGGGGATCGATACGTTCGTTGTATTGATGGTGGTGATTATTTCACAGGTGTGCACATGTTAAAACATGTACAACTGTATACTTCTGCAGTTTACTGCATATCAATTTCCTTCGGTAAAACTGTTTAAAAACTGTAGCTGATTATATTACAGATTCAAGGCAAATAAATTTAAAAATCTAGATGAAATGGGTAATTTTCTAGGCAAACAATATATTACTAAAATTGACCCCCATTATAAACAGAAAGCCTAAACAGACTGCTTTTGAAAAAGAAACAGAAAAAGTTACCACGGAACTATCACAGGAAAGCACCCACCCCAAATGGTTTTACATCAGAATTCAACCTTCAAAGACCAGCTAATTCCAGTATCCTATAAATTGTTCTGGAGTATTAAAAATGAACAAAAATGTAATTGCTTTCACGATGCAATTAAAATGTTGAAACCTAAAACCTGGAAAATATAGTACAAAAAAATAAAAAGAAAGAAAGTTACAGACCAATTTCATACAAACATTGAAGAAAAATGTATGAAACAAAATATGAGCAGTTAAACTCATTACCATATTAAGAACAGAACATGCCCTGTCTAAGCAAGACTTGTTGCAGGAATATAAGGTTGGTTCGATATCAGAAAATCCTTCCACATAAATACAAGATAGTAATAAAGTTAAGGAAAAAATCCCTATGATTTCTACAGATGCTCTAAAGGCCTTTTACAGAATGCAGTCATTCTTCCTTTTTGTTAAGATTTTGAGAGCGTGAGCGAGAGAGCACAAGTTGGGGAGCACAGAGGGAGAGGGAGCAGACTCCCCAAAGAGTACAGAGCCTGACGTAGGCTCAATCCCAGGACCCCAGGATCATGACCTAAGCAGAAGGCATATGCTGAACTGACTGAGCCATGCTGGTGCCCTGAATGCAGCCTATCTTCTTCTTTTTTTAAGAAAGATAATTTTTTAAAGATTTTTATTTATTAGAGAGAGCAAGCAAGAAAGAGCATGAGCTGTGGAGAGAAGCTGAAGGAGAGGGAGAAGCAGACTCCCCGCTGAGCAGGGAGCCCAATGTGGGACTTGATCCCAGGACTCTGGGATCATGACCTAAGCCGAAGGCAGATCCTTAACTGACTGAACCAACCCAGGCACCTCTGCAGTCCATCTTCTAAAATGACTGTAATACCTATTCTTTTTTTTTTCCCTTTGAGAGAGAAAGAGAGCACACAGGGCAGGGGAGGGGCAGAGAGAGAGGAACAGAGAATCTTAAGCTGGCTCCATGTCCAGCACTGAGCTTGACATGGGACTTGATCTCACCACCCTGAGATCATGACCTAAGCCGAAATCAAGATGCTTAACTGGCTGAACCACCCAGGCACCCCAGTAATACTGACTCAAAAAAACTTAGGAAAAAAACTTAGGAATAATCACTGCAAAGTTTTAAAATCTGTGTTTCCTATATTCAGTGACCTACCATAAATTACGTAAGCCTCATTCTCTCTCACAGAGATTGGGCTATAAAAACAACTTGCTGAAGAGCTTCTTAAGATTCTTTTCACCTGTTTTAGAACTTAAAAGAATAAGCAAGTTACTTAAAGTCTTAGCTTTCACAACATTATATTATGTATTATCTGTAAGGGAAAATATTTCCATCATTATCTATCAATAGGCTGTATGTTAATTATCTTTCACTATCTTAAGAAAAACAATCAAACCAAAGCTGGGAAATCTATATTCTCGGAAGGACACTTACATGACCTTATGCTGGAGAACACGGAAGCAGTCTCAAATTTAGTAAAGTGTCCAACAAATGAATGATGGGGTTTCTTTCATTACATGTACTAAAACTTCATAAATGTGATTTTTGTGTCCTGGTACAGACAAGCCTATTTAGCTCATAAAGAAAATAAAATGTAACTGCAGACAATAATCTACTCTTGTTGAATGAATTAAAGCTATGGGAGCAGGCCTGGCGGAAACATGGATGCAGTCACCCAGGGGACAGAATCACAAGCCCTGGGGTGCAGGGAAGCAACTTATTTCAAAAGTCCTGGGTGCTTACATCTATAGACTCCTCTAGAAAGAAGAACTGCTGGCCTTTCCTTTTCTTGACCTGAGGCCTTCATTCAATGTTTTTACTGGCTAAACTGGGCAATCAAGAATACCCATTCCCCATAAATCCTGCCCATTTACACTATTTAATTTCCCAGCACTGTGGATTCTGTTGTGGAGACTTGGACTCCATCCACTCAACTTCTCACGATACTCTCATTTATAAGAACGTCCGTGATATGCATTCAAGTATGGTTACTGAGGTCCAACCATATCTGTACTCATCGCACTGTCTGGGTTTCCCATAGTGTGAACCCTCCAAGGCTGAATACAGCCAGTGACTCCATGCAAAGCATTTCCACATTCATCACGTTTATATGATTCCTCTCCTGTGCAGATTCTCTGGTGCACAGTCATCCTGACTTGTAGGTAAAGGCGCTCCTTTGTCCTCCACGTAAGGTTCTGTAAGGTGTCAGTGCTGCACGAAGGCTTCCTCGTGTTCATTACATCTCTGCAGTCTCTCATTCATGTGATTCTCTGATGTAAAATGAGGCCACGGTAACTGAAAGCTTTCCCACATTCCTTACACTGAGCATTTTTCCATGTGGGGATCTCCGGTGGGAAAAGAGAAACCCACTCTAAACCAAAGCCTTTCCAAACTTGTTCTCAAAGAGATTCTCTTCGGTCTCTGGACTTCCTAAAGCTGAATAAGGACTCACAGTGACTAAAACTTTTCCTGCACTTACTGCATAGGTGCTGCATTTCTACAGAGACCCCACTGCATGATTTAGCATCTTCATAATTTTTTGTGTTGGAGACAAGTCTTTATTTTCATTCCCAGTAACACCATCTAAAAAAAAATGCAAAAAATTCAGATGTCGGTCGTCTCTCTGCTGAGATGAGACTTAAGATGAAGAACAGTGATAAAAATAAAACCCAGTTTTACCTAAAGTGTATGCCATTACTGCATCTGAACTGTCATCTCAACTTGGCCAAGTGCCCAAAAAGGCACGCAAGGTTCCAGTTTGAGGGAGAACAGACAGCTGGGGGGAAAGTATGGAAGAACATGGAGGATTTTCTCACAAAATGAGACAATGAATCAGGAAGGCATAATCAAAAAAGTTAAGAGGAGATAAGTTTGAATCCAGAGATGAAAAATGGAGTATCATGAAATCAAGAGAAATTTTAATTTGCCAGTGTAAGTTAAAAGGATCATTTAGGGGCGTCTAGGTGGCTTAGTGGGTTAAGCCTCTGCCTTTTGCTCAGGTCCTGATCTCAGGGTCCTGGGATCGAGCCCCGCATCGGGCTCTCTGCTCAGTGGGGAGCCTGCTTTCCTTCTCTCTCTCTGTCTGCCTCTCTGCCTGCTTGTGATCTCTGTCTAATAAATAAGTAAAATCTAAAAAAAGAAAAAAGGACCATTTATACCAACTGATATGTACGTAGGCCACTACTACAGACAAGCAAATGCTCCACAAGTAAATATTTATTGAGTCAATCAATGAACAGTGGTCTACGATAACAGCTAACGTCAAGCAACAGCTAGAACTGTTTCAAAATACACACTGTTTTGAAATGGAAAAACTAAAGTGGAGAAAATAACTTTTTCAGTAATGTCAGGACTAAAACATAGGAAGAAAGCTGCACTTTGAAGTTAAAGGAGTTGAACAGGTCAAAGTAAACCAAACGAACTCCTCACAGATATGGCTGAGAGCTTCTACCTCAAGAATTGGGCAAATAATGAGATGGGTAGAGACAAGTATTCAAGGGAAAGAACATTATTGAGAGTTCTAAAATGCTTCCTTTCAAGGATCTCGTAGATACCTTTTCTCATCGGCTTTCCATTCCAAAAGGCGATAATGCTCAAACTATGACAGTGGCTTAACAGGCTGCACTTAAAACCCTGGATTCCAACACACTATCTGTGCTATAAGCACGTCTTGTGCTGTTCTTTAGCCTGGGCCCTAAAGGCAACGGGATGAAGCTGGTCTTGGAAAACTGGATTTGAAGTTGCCCAAACAACAACCCAATACAGAAAAACTTCCCAGAGGTGCACACGAATACCAAGGGGAATTAAAGCCCATGAGGGAGGTGCTGGGTTTGGGCTGCAGAGACATGTGGTGGATCCTAAGTTTGGTTTTACCGCTTTCTCTGCTACTCCAGAAGACTTTCACTACTCAAGCCATGACATATGTGATTATGCCAACCCTTCCCACTGACGGTTTTCCTCCAAGCTGTCTCCAACTTTTCTAGCATAAGTGATACCTCTTCTCCACCTTCTGGGTACTATCCCTGCCTGAATCTGCAGCTTCCCAGCGAGGTGTCAGGACCGACTTCAGCACCTGCTCCTTGGTCTGCTTCTGGTCTCAGCAACCGTAGGCAAAGCTCTCTCAGTCTTCTGACAGCCCTGGGAGGCCCAGGTAGCTATCTCCTGATAGTAGCAACTTAAAGTCTGAGGGACTATCTGCGACTTCTTTGCCAGAGTGGTCCCAGGCACGGCCCTCTCCCTCTGCCATCAGTCACCATCAGGGACCTTCCTGCAGGAGGACCGCCATTCTGGAATGAGCGCACTCAGGAGAAGATTCACACCAGCCTGGGGTCCACACCGGTTTTTCAGAAGTATTTCCTTGTAGCTAGTCTTCTTCCTGGGACACAAAATAACAGTTAACAGAAACTTTAATTTTTGTTTAGCTCCTTGACTCAAGAACTCACTAGCCAGACAAGGCACTGAAAGAAAAAGGAACTTCGTCAGGAAGCTAAATAAATTAAGGAAGTGGGAGGGAATTTGCAAATCCTTAATTAGCACCATGTGCTAAAATCTTTTACCTCCTAAATGTTTGTTAATAAAACCTGATAGACCGTGACCCTCCTCCCTTGTGTTCTCCCCTTCAGAGAATGCCGAACAGACGGTAGAGAAAATAACATCAGAAATGAAAATAACAGCTCATATTTATTTAAAGTTCTACACCTTTACTCGTTTAAGTGGGTACTGTTATAAGCCCACTGGCAGTTGAACGATTCCGTGGTACAGAAATAAGTCATTTGCTACCACCAATAAGTGGCCTCTGACCCGCACTGCAGCGTCGCCTCCTCTACCGCAGGAAGGGTCAGGACGCAGATGCTCTCCCCGACCAGCCCCACTTTCCGTTTACAAAACCGGGACCCCAGACTCTCCTCTTCCCAAGAGCCCAGGTAGCCCAATACAACCCAAACCTCGGAAGCTGTCCCTGACTCCCCCTGCAACTCTCGGAGCTCTGGTCGCACCCTCCCACACCCGACCCGCGGAGGCCGGGGGTGCAGGAACGGAGGCCTAGCCCCGGCCCCGCACAGGTGCGCGCCGAGTCTCGCGGGCTCGCGTTTCCGGGCCGGCTGCAGCCCTTGCCGCCGCGCCGTTCGGTCTCCTCTAGGAATCTGGAGGTTCTGCTCTCTGTGGTTGCCTGGCTGCGTCCCCGCCTCGCACAGCCTCCGGCGGCGCCCGCAGCTGAGCGGGCGCCCAGGACAAAGAGCGCGAACCTGGGCTGCACTGAGATAAGACCGGGGGCGAGTTCTGTCCCCGAGGAAGAGGAGTTCCGCGGACCCCGGCGGCGCCCCACGAAAAGGTCCTGGGGACACTGCACGCGATCCCAGTGACCTGCGGCTGCGGTGCGCACGGGGCTGCACACAGGCGCGAAGCGCGGTGTAGACAACCCATCTACCCCACGGAACGCCCAGTCGGTGGCTCCTACTGTCACCACTTACCCTGTGGGGAAACCGAGACCCCATAGGGTAAATCACTCGCCCGAATTCAGTTTGACTACAGAAAACTCACGTTTTTGGCGGGTGTGAAATGATGAGATCACTGGAGTAGGCACAAGTGAGGCACTAGATCAAAAAGTCAAGTCCGCGTATCAAGCCCAAGAGGGATCAGTAAGATCTAACCGTCGTAATTCACAGATGACAAATAACGGCCACTTAGAGGTCCTTCTGGGGATACCCAGGACCAGGCTATCTGGGCTAAGCTGATCTGTGGAACAAACATGTATCCCCCAAAGATCACCTTCAGCTGAGCTGGGCGAAAAGCTCTGGGATCCTTGACCGATGGGCTTTCAGACCTGGAAGTGTGAGCGAGGAGTCAGTGGTTTCCATGAAATCAAGGGAAAACCACTGGCTCTCCACGATGGTCTTACAATGTGAGCCAAGGAGCTACTCAACTGAGTTTACTTATCATGAATGGCTTTGTCAAAATCAAATTATATGTATAAAATAAAACCTACATACAACACATTTTTATAGAATACAGTCATACATATATTCTCTCTCTCTCTATAGAATACTATACATATATAAAAATGTGGAAGGACTCCTTACCAATTACACCCAAAAACATTTGGCATGAGAGAAGACCCAAAGAAATTCCAATAAAATGAACTGCTAGGGGTGCCTGGGTGGCTCAGTGTGTTGAGCCTCTGCCTTCCGCTCCAGTCATGATCTCAGGGTCCTGGAATGGAGCCCAGCATTGGGATCTCTACTGGGTGGGGAGCCTGCTTCCCCCCACCCCACCCCCTGCTGCCTGCCTCTCTGCCTACTTGTGATCTGTCAAATAAATGAATAAAATCTTAAAAAAAAAAAATGAACTGCTACAGGGATTGTGATAGAACTTTTAAGTGTGAAAGGATGAAGTTGAGAATATTTAACTAAAGGTTATCAGATGATTATCCCTAAGCTGAATAGGACAATTTGTTGCCCAAATAAATTCTGGGCTTGTGGAATCAGGACAGGCACCTGAAAGAACTATTTTATATAATTATGTTTCCTTTAATCCTAGCCATGATTACTAGCTACAAATATAAAACCCTCATCAAATATAGATCCATATCGGTTACTGGACAGATCTATAATGGGACATTATAATCTACATCTTTATGATTTGTATTACTGAAGTCTGCCAAAAATCCCATATTCTGTCAGAATGGAGGGTGATCCTTTCCTATAAAGAGCCCATTTTTTTTTTAAGATTTTATTTATTTATTTGACAGACAGAGATCACAAGTAGGCAGAGAGGCAGGCAGAGAGAGAGAGGAGGAAGCAGGCTCTCCGCTGAGCAGGGAGCCCGATGCGGGGCTCGATCCCAGGACCCTGAGATCATGACCTGAGCCGAAGGCAGAGGCTTAACCCACTGAGCCACCCAGGTGCCCCTAAAGAGCCCATTTTTAGTGGAATGTCTCCTGTGGACACCCTCCCTGTGTTGGCAACAAGCATTAGGGTTCACATTCCACTGACCAAACCTCATCCACAATCTGGCGAGCAGAAAGGGTGGTGATATTATTACCTTGGGTGCTTGGACCTAGGATTCTGAGGTTTCTGAAGTATCTTTTAAAAAAAGAGTGACAGGAGTAGAAAAGTTTTCCACAGACATCAATCACCACTGCAACACAGGGTTCCTTTAACTGAAACAGGAAGTGTGGGCTCTAGAATTGGGCTGCTTGGGTTCAAAGCTGGGCCCCATATACTAACTTTGTGACCTCAGGCAGCTTCAATGCTAAAAATAAAATAATGCACCTAGTAAGGCCTGGCCCTTAGTAAACTGTATATGTTACATATTTTTAACAAATTTTATTCTCGACTCCCAAAGATGGCCAATAAGGGCTTTGAGCGTGATAACTGTAATAAATAATCTAGGGGAGATAACAAGAGGCTACTTCTGTTCAGAGCACAGTAGTGTGGACCTGCTCTCCACTGCTGGCCTCACCCTGCAACTGACATTTCTCAATTCAGAGCCTGCTCAATCCCATTCTCTTTCCTCAGTAACTTTATCTCACACCGAAAATTCCAGCAACCTCTTCATACACCTGGGGGTTTTTTGGAGGGGGGCCGGCTTTCTCACTTTGCAGTCCCTGTTATACCCCCTGCAACCTGTTTGTCAGGTTACTCTTCATTCAAAGCCCCCTTCACTTTTTATTGCTTTAGGGAATTTGATTCTCCCCCAACCTCTCTAGCTTTTTGTCTTAAACACTCAGTATCTTGTTCACCTTGAATCAATGAGAAAAGAAGCCTGATCTCACTCTCATCCTTAATATTATTTCTAAGTAACTGCTTTGTGAATAGAGTATTACACCAGTGCCTCAACCTGGCTGTTCATCACTACCCTTGACTGACATCATTTCTACCTTGGACTTGCTTCCATTTCACATTTTTCTTTTCTATCCTACTGCCTGTTATCGCTGATGGCTTCAAAATCCACAAAGGTTAGCTGCTTCAGAGGACCCTGATTTCCTAGATCTTGTCCCTGTTAGACCGTATCTACCTCTCATCCATAAAGATGTACTCTGGGCTTCATCACTTCGTCATTCTCTGTTCGCCACACTCTCCCCATTCTGTGTCTAACCTGTCCTGTCCTCCACGTGTCCCCGGGCCTTCCACTTCCATGTTGCCAATTCGGCTGCAGTTATTATACGGTTTCCCCCAATCCTGGATACTTTGACCCCTTTGATGCCTACCTGGAAATGCCACGCCACCCCCTCCCCTTCTTGGTACTGCAACGATATTTAAGCACAAGGAACAACCAGAACAAAACCCCCACCTTTATGAGTTATGAACTGCATGCTAGGTGATAGGCATATCCCGATATTCTGGGTCTCTGTCTATGGCTCCTTTGTATTAGGCAATTAAAGGCGTTAGAGGCAAATGGACGAATGCGTCTGCACTGAGAACGTGTTAAGCAGAAGATATAAATAAGAGCGCTGTGAACAGAAAGCCAAGTTTAAAATAAGAATCATGGGGGTGCCTGGGTGGCTCAGTGGGTTAAGCCTCTGCCTTTGGCTCGGGTCATGATCTCAGGGTCCTGGGATCGAGCCCCATGTCAGGGTCTCTGTTCAGTGGGGAGCCTGCTTCCCCCCCTCACCGCCTGCCTCTCTGCCTACCTGTGATCTCTGTCAAATAAATAAAATCTTTTAAAAATAAAAAAGAACCGTGTTCCCATGAGCAGTAGGCTTCGAAAGGCTCAAAGGGACTCCTAGGAATGACTTCAGTTTGGCCACCATGTCTGAAGTCTGATCCGGTGACAAGACATGCTCATACAGGTTCTCATTACTAAGCACCGAGGAGCTTGTGGGAGTGAGAGATGCCAGGCAGGCCGAGCTGGGAAAGGGAACAGGAACACACACAGCTCGGAGCTCTCAGGCTCACTCGGGGCAACAAACTTGTTTCCTGGATGTAAAAAAGCGTTAGTTCCCAACCCCAGCTGCCTCAGTGTCTCATGTGTGCAGCTCCCAGGCTGGTCTTAGGAAAAACACCTAAATAAAGAGTCCTCAACTTGTGACTTGAGTTTTCACATGTTCATGGGCTTTGCTCTGTTGTGAACTCAGAATGTTCTCCCATGGTCATGTAAATTCCAATCCCAAAGCAAATCTGACACGTCATAATATGCCTGTTACGGCACTAACACCAATTGTTATTTTTATGGGAAAATGTGCTCCCATTTACAGCTCAGAAGCGACATCACTATTTCCCCAGGGACTCTTCTGGTTTCAAACCAGTGATAACACTCTTGTGTTCTGGACAGGGCGACAGATGGAGAGGCCAGAGACAGGGGCCGTAGGGAGAGGCGGCAGAGTGCATTACAGGAGCCGGGAGGAGATGGGATGGAGACTCGGGGCTAGGTACAACGGCAGTCAGGAGTAGTTAAAGGAGGGTAATTATCCGTTTCTCCCCGCCCCCTTTCCTCACCACTTCAGACCCACTCACCGGCTAGAGGTGAGGGGTGAGAGGACCCTGGAGTTGTGTGGGGTGAGGTGGGCGGGGTGAGGGGTTAATCTCAGAAACTGCAGAGTCGGCCATGCCAAGGTAGCAAGGGAAGGAAATCAAAGGATAGCTCAGTGAAGGTCAAAAATCCTCTGTAAAGAAGACAAACAGACCAGGAGCCACGTGCGTCTCTCTGTGGCTGCCGGCTACCACCAATAATGGCCACAGGCCGTCGTCCCGGACAGAACTGCTCACCCAGTAGAACAGGAGCAGAGCCAACCAGCTCATCTGTTCTCACAAGTCCCAAGGGACAGAGTCACTAATCTTTGGCTCTTTGATGTGCTCAAGAAGGTATACAAACCAAGAAATTGTAAACCAGTTCTGCAGAGCAGTTGTTAGGGAATTGAGAACATGAGAACTACGTAACTGGGGAAAAGAGAGGTTAGAGGCAGAGAACCCTAGCGCCCTAACTAACCGCGAAGGCTTGTGCTCAGATGACCCCAGGAGCCTTCGAATGTAGGTCAGTCTCCTATTTTGACGCCCTTAAATTTGAAGAGGTGAAAAGGCCAGCCTGAAGCCCTTACAGCGGGATGGTGGTCAGGTTCCCTGTGCTCTCTATGGTCCTGCTGGCACCTGTCCGCTGTTGGGCTTCCCTTATACTCTGAACCAGCAGCGGTGCCTGCTTACGGGAAAGTGTTCACATGTCCACGCTCCACAGGCAACCATGAAGGCAGCTGGGATTCAATGCAGTGAGGCAGAAGGTCTGTGAGTGGGGCTCTGACGTTTTCCTCAGTGAAGTGGAGGGATCCCTAGAGCAACAGACAGGACTTGAGGTCAGAGACCTACACTTCAGTGGCTGGGCTTTCCCTTGTGACACTGTAGCTACATCACTGTCTCTGTACGCAAGAGTGTCCTCACCTTTCCAACGGCCAATAATTTTAGAGATATTTTAGGAATGAAGTCAAAGAGGCATTCTTGCCCTGCCAGTCTGTCCCCAAGCTCTGTTGCCAACGTACCGCCAACAACTGCCCAACTGAACAGACCCTGTACCTCAGGTCGACTCACGTGCTTCCAAACCACGAGCACTCTTGCCTCTGCCTACATTTCCTTCACCCTAAATGCTTTCCATTTTGCCCTCCAATTCCGCCCATCCAACCCTTAGCGTCAGTAAGATCTTTCCTGACCCCCCGAGGCACCGGCGGTCCGTCCTCCCGGATGGACAGCACTTACTGTGTGCCACGAGCCACTTCCAAGACACAGGACCTGTGTCATTTCTCCTGTCCTGCTGCGGTCTCACCTGACCTCACATGCAGATCTTAGCTATCCCCAACTAAACCATCAACTTCGGAGAAGAGGAATGTGGTGTTCTGCTTCTTGATCTCCACAGCACCTGACAGAATGGGCGGCACACAGGGACTTCTTTATCAATATCTGAGGCTTCCTTATAGCAACAGTGACTGGCATTCTGCCCTAAATGATTTCAAAGCCTCCACTCTGGGACACAGCCGCCTTGCAGTTTTTCTCCTCTGTGGGTACTCTGATGTTGAGTAAGAGCTGAGGTCTGCCTGAACGACTCCCCACACTCTTTACATGTACAAGGACCACCTCTAGCATGGGTTCTCTGGTGTTTACTAAGATCTGACCTCTGTCTGAAGGCTTTGCCACATTCATCACATTGGTAGGGTTTCTCCCCAGTGTGGATTCTCTGGTGCTGGATGAGGCTGGTGATTCCTCGGAAGGTATTCCCACACTCGTCGCACTTGTAGGGCCTCTCTCCAGTGTGGATTCTCTGATGTTCTGTGAGGACAGATCTCTGCGTGAAAGCCTTCCCACACTCATCACATTTATAAGGTCTCTCCCCAGTGTGAATTCGCTGATGTTCTACAAGACTTGTCCTCTGAATAAAGGCTTTTCCACATACATCACACTTGTAAGGTTTTTCCCCAGTGTGGATCCTCTGGTGCTGAACAAGGCCACTCTGGCTGAAGGATTTCCCACATTCCTTACACTGATGGCACTTTTCTTTGTGATGGATCTCCTGGTGGGAAACCAGGGATGAGTTATACACAAAGGCTTTTCCACACTCGCTGCACTCATAGGGCTTCGCCCCAGTGTGAACTCCTTGATGCTGAGTAAGTATCGAGCGCCGACTGAAACTCTTATTACACTGAGTACAATGGTACGGTTTGTCTCTCGTGTGGATCTTGAGATGGTGAAAGAGGCCTGCTTTCTGGCTGAAGGCTTTGCCGCACTCATTACAGTGGTAGTGCTTCTCTCCTGTGTGAAGTCTCTGATGTTGGTTAAGAGCTGACCACCGGCCAAAGGCTTTGTCACACTCGTTACACTTATATGGTTTCTCACCAGTGTGGATTATTTTGTGCCGGATAAGCACAGTTCTCCCACGGAATGTTTTTCCACATTCCTCGCACTTGTAAGGCCTGTCTCCAGTATGGACCCTCTGATGTTCTACAAGGCGCGAGTGCTGACTGAAGGCTTTCCCACACTCCTCGCACTCGTGAGGTTTTCCTCCCGGACAGAACCTCTGCTGTTCACCCAGACGGACTCTGCTTTCTTCACCTGTAGGTTGTTCACCTTCCCTGGAGTGTCCAGAAGACGCTTCTGGTTTTGCTTCAGGATCGTCAGCTTCTCTGCACTGAGCAGGCCAAAACACTTCACGTTTAAATGCAGACATGTTCTCATGTGGTTCCATTTCTTCAGAAATTTCTTGCTTTAAATTCCTGCACTCGTTCCCAGTCTCAACACCTGAAACTGCAATGGATCACCGAGTCAACGAGTTTCCAACACAAGATTCATTGGTGAAAAACACTAAGAACCTAGAGTTTCTGCAGGACTATGAAATGGCATAAGAACACAGGACAGACATAATACGTAAAACTCCAAAAATTGTTACGGAAAAGACCAGTAACCCAATAGAAACTGGGCAAAGGAAAAATTGTCTCCAGAAAAATTAATACAGTAGTTCTTAAACGTAAGATGCTCCACCTCAAAATAAGGGAAAAGCAGATTTAAACAATACTGAGACACAATTTTCACCCATCATCCTGCCATGTTCATGAAATGAGTGTCACACACTGCCGGTGGGAGTGTAAACTGACCCAGGCCTTATAGAGGGCAATTTGACAACATCCATCAAAATTACAAAAGTACTTAAACTTTGGCTTAGAAATTCCACAAACAGGAATTTATCCTGCAGTTCACCACAGCACCACCTGTTAGAATAAAACACTGGGGACAACTTGGGGGGTGGGTAAGGTAACTGTGTGGTTCATCCATACATTTTATTACTAAGTTGCTGTTAAGAAATAAAAAATGCAAGCTTTTACTATCTTAGTGATAAAGAGAAGAAAAGGTACTTGTTTGAATATGAAAACATATATATTTCTAGGGAAGGACACACAAGAACTTAAAACACTGACAACCTATTTCAGGGCTGGAAGACCAGACGGCAGAGGGAATGAAGTGGAATGAAAACTTTTCACTAGATAATTTAAAATTTTTGTCTTTGAACTAGATGAATTTTTACCTACTTTAAAAAACTAAATGGAAAAGAATAAATATAGGGGCGCCTGGGTGGCCCAGTCATTAAGCATCTGCCATTGGCTCAAGTCATGATCTCAAGGTCATGGGATGGAGCCCTGAATCAGGCTCCCTGCTCCATGGGAAACTGCTTCTCCCTCTCCCACTCCCCCTGCTTGTGTTCTCTCTCTCGCTGTCTCTCTCTCTCTGTCAAATAAATAAATAAAACCTTTAAAAAAGAAAAAAAAAGGAAAAGAATAAATATAAACGAAGCAGAGATAAGGAAGTTATGGAGTCTTTCATCCATTCACCAACTTTTAATATTCTGCCACGTCTGCTTTATTGTTCCTCTCTTTGTAAGTGTACACATATATATACTTTTTCCTGAACCATCTGAAAAATGCGGTCATCGTGGGGCAGAGGCTTGTTTATGAAGGAGGAAGGATACAGTCGAAGTGAAGACAGTAGTACTGTCTGACAGGATAAAGGCTAGAAAGAGCAAGACCAGTACAATGGAAAACAACTACCAGAAAGACTAAATTAAGTGATCTCAAATAAAACAGTGCAAGAATTCAAAAAATATTTAAATATAAAGAGAAGAGAACACCTGAAGAGCGAGAAACTCTTCAGTTGTGGCTGAGAGTGTGCATGAGAGACTTCGTGACTCTGATGATCAGGAACAGTGCGGAGTACTAGGGCGTCCTGCTGTCCCGTGCTGGCCCATCCTCCCCTTCCCCTCAGATGGGTCTGTCTGCCTTACCTGGCTCCTCCAGCGGGGCTTCAGGTTCTGGAGACTCACACTTGAGCTGTGCCATCAGGGGTGGGAGGGACACACCGGGCTCCTGTTCTGTTCCCAGAGGGGCCGCCTCCTGCAAGGGCTGGCCTTGTTCCTCGGTGTGGACTGAGACCTGCGGCAAGATAAACAGCTCACACAGTCGGTGAACAGCAAATAAGAGTACACGATCCACGGCGGTGACGTCCAGCTCTCTGACACCTCAACTTTCTCCCAGACACCAGCCTGCCGTAACCCTCCCCACGGCGCCTCCTCTGGGAAACCTTCCCTGCTCCTGTTCTTCACAGCTAAACGCTGCTGGTTGTGTCACCTTCACTGTTTATGCCTGGAGAAAGGCAGAAGGAAATGAAGGAGTGACAGAGGGTGGAGGACGGAGGAGAAATCTCTTCACAGTAGGCTCTGGAAGCTGTTCCCTACAGCCAGCCTTCCCCAGATCCCACTCCACCTCCTTCCAGGACAGGACCTTATTTTCTCCTTGCCCAAGGTCATGGTCACATGAGAGGCCACCCACCATTCATTTCATCACTCCCCCCCCCTTCCCTTCCACTTAAAGGAAGAAGCCTTTTCTCTTCAAGGTGCGTAGGTCTCCACTCTTGCCTTCAACCCCATCCCTTACTGCACCCCTGAGCCCTGCTCCAGCAACGAACTCATTTATTTAGCAGTTTAAGCCATTCTGTAGTTTCTGTGCCTGCAGGGAACCATTCCCCTTGTATTCGAAAATACCAGGTTTTCCCAGCAGGGTGTGAAATGCTGGGATCTGGGACCACTCTTGTTCCGAAGTCTGTGTCTTAGTTCAGGAACTCCGGGAGCGGGGCTGGTTACCTCGACCACCCAGCACCGTGTACACAAAGCACATTGCAGGGGGCGTTGCCGCAGCAGGCCCTCAAACTGCTCCCCAACCCCCTACAGTGGCTACACTCTGTAAATAAGAAATCACCGCACACTGCCTCTATTCTGACAGTTTCACTGTGCAACCTCTGCCCCCAGAATAAGAGCCAGAATCAGAAGGATGCTGAGATGGACAGAAAAAGAGGTTTCAACTTCAAATGTGGAGGGAGAAAAAAGCCAGCACAGTAGTCTGTGTCTTCCATCTGTGGATCTCTGGCAAGGCTCAGAAATCGAGTTTAAACTCTGTTAGCTGCCCCCAGCATGCTTCAAGGGAAGGGGTTGGCTTGCAAAACAAACTCAACATGTTTCATTTTGTTCTGTTTTTTAATCAGGGGAAAGCACAAACTCAACACTTTTAAAACCACATTACTTCTGCCTGCACTCGAGAATCCCTTCTTTCTTTTGGTTCTCTTCGTCTCCTTGGCCACTCCTCCATTTCCACTGCCCTGATGACCTCCTTTCATCTCAAAGCCTTAAATATCATCCATAACCTGACAAGTTCCAGTTTTGCATCTCTAGCACGGATCCCTCCATCGAATCCCAGCTTGTTATACTCAGTTGCTTGCCCAACTTTTCCAGGTGGATTCTAATAAGAATCTCAAAATTGACACATCCAAAAACCCAGTAACCGTTGATCCCTGTCCTGACCCAAAACCTTCCTCTCTCCCAGCCTTTACCATCTTTGTGAATGATGAATCCATGAGTCATAACGTTCAGAACAAAAACCTTAGCTGAACCCTGAACCTTCTCTCATATCCCACATCCTACAGAAAAACAAATCCTGTCAAGTGCCACCTCCAGAACAGGCAGGATCCAACCGCATCTCACACTTCCACAGCTACTGCCCTAGTCCAATCCACCAGCACCCGTTTCCTGGATCGGTGCTGAGCCTGTCTCCCTGCTTCTGCATTTGACCTCTCGACCTCCCATACCCCGCGCCCCCACCCAGGCCCCGTGTACAACTCTTCCAACAGAGTGGCTGGAGTGATTATTTTTACAATTTAGGTCAGGTTAAACCTCTCTTCTGTTCAACTCTCCGGTGACTCAGCACCCTGTTTATTGTCTGCCTCCTTATCAGACTAGACTCCAGCTGGGAGACAACAGCAGCTTCTGCGCTTTGTTCATGGCTATGTTTCCAGTGCCCTGAATGGTGCCTAGTACAAAAACCCACATTAGTAAATGTCTCCTGAACAAATGAGCTTTCCCCAATCCACCCTCCCCTACCCCCTTGAACTCTGTTAGGAGCACCCGGATCCCGCCAGTCTCTCAAGCCGGAAGTCCCCAGTGCTCAGCCTGGAAGAGATCGCTCCCTGCAGAGTTTTCCCTTCATCCTTCCTTTTTCATCCACTCATCTGTCATCATTTCCAATGAATAATTACCTAAGACATGCTTCATCCTTTGAAGTCTCACTGTCACAACTCTCTCTCAAACTCATGTCTTTCTGCCACAGGTTCCTCCCCTCCAGTGTTTCATGCCCCCAGTGCTGGGCTACCCTTCTTGTTTTTCCATTTTATAGCCTTCCTACCAAGACTTCCCAGCCTTGCCTCTACTGACCAGCTGGTCAGATAATTCTTTGTTGTATGATGCTGTCCTATATGGGTAATGTCCCTGGCCCATCAGCCACTAGATGTCAGTAGCACCTCGCCCCATCTGACAACCAAAAATGTCCCAAGACATTGCCCGATGCCTCTAGGGCACAAAACAGCCACTGGTTGAGAACCAGTATCAGTATTGAAACAAAACAGAACAGAACAGAACAAGATCCTACGTACTTTAGTTACATCCTCGGGTTAGGGAGGCTCATTTAGACTCAAAGAGAAAATGTTAGAAGCTTGTGTCCTACAGATTAAAATCTAAATTCCAGGGGTGGTATTCAAGGTCCTGGACTCTGTTTTCAATCCCTATTCACAACTCACCTGTCCAACCCACCCTGAGCTTTCTACTACTCCCAGTAACTCCCATCCCTGCCCGGCCCCTCCCTCCTAACCTTCCACTCTGCTCATACCTCCCACTCCTCCAAGGTGGTGACTTTGATTTCTCCTTCGTTTAATCCTTTAATGGAGAAAGGGCAGTGGACACACTGTTGTGCAAGAGAGCGATGTCCCTTTGAAGAGACTGCTGCCCACTCCCTTACCATGACCTAACATTTGCTCTTAGAATCTTCTGATGTTTTTGAGCAGCATTTCCTCAAACAGGACTCTGTAAGCCTAGTACAGAAGCACATGATCCGTCGGCAGAAAAGCTATAAATAAGTTAGGACTACATTAATCAAGTTTCCATGAGGCTAGAGCCTGATACACCCATGTGTCAAGAACACACTGGCCTAG